TTTATAAAATTAAAGATTTTATTTTTATATACAATAGAAGGTAATTTTTTTATATCTTAAGTAGATAATAACGAAATATTTTTACTTATTCGGACAGAAATTGACGGACATTTATCTGTCCAATTTCCCAAAAATCAGTTCAATATCTGAATTCCCCTGTACGGAAATCGTATCAGAAATTAAACTGATGGAAATAATTACATATATTATTAGCCCCATTTTGCAGGCTTTATATATGTTCATGACAAGAATTTGAATACGAGTATACAAAGTGTATTCACTTTGTATACTCTTATTCTTGTATGCTTGTATAGTGCGCCGCATAGCGGTAAGCGAATAAAATATACTATTTCAATAAATTATATAAATAGCTAAAAGCTGCATATTCTGCTCGATTTCTGCTGCCAATTTGTCGTCAGATTGCGCGCGCGCAAATCTTGCGCGGTTTCTGCCGCCAATCTGGCATCAAACTGCATTGCGCAGATCCTGCTTGGTTTCTGCTGCCAATCTGCTATGATAATTCTGTGCAAATCCTGCTCGGTTTCTGCTACTGATCTGCTGTCAAATTATGTCAGCAAGTTCTGTAATATTTTTGCTGACATTCTGCTATCATTATCTGATATAACAGACTTTGTATACAATCTGCAGTTTTTCTGCTGACAAAAATTTGTAGCAGACGTTTGGTAAAATCTGTCCGAACAGACTTTGCTGACTGGGAAAATTTCAGAATATTGACAATGGTGCTTCCTTATAATTTCGTTTATATAAGTGGAAATATGCTGTTAGTCCATAAGAACTCATGCAAAATTAAAAGTTGAATTACTCATGAACCGGTTTGGGAATCAGTCAGATTTTACACGTTTTATACGTGTTCAGATATAATAAATAGAAACAATTTATTAAATTTTCAGGGTATTGTCAATGTTAGAATGTTAGCACCAGTACATTCTTAATGTGACTTACTAAGCTATATAGCGAGTGAGCATTCGACTCGTATTCGGCAGATCCCGATGCAATCCTCACTTGTTTAGAAGTAATTGCCAGTTGAGTATGCTCTTTCAAAGGCGTCCTCAACGTTCACACATGCAATGATTTAGACATGTCTCTGTGTCTGCTACTTCCATGAGATACACTCGTATTTATAATTTAATTATTCTTTATCTTTTATGGAAGTAGCAGACACAGAGACATGTCTAAATCATTGCATGTGTGAACGTTGAGGACGCCTTTGAAAGAGCATACTCAACTGGCAATTACCCCTATTTATTAATTTTTTAATTTAAAATCAATTTTTTAATGAAGCTTTATTCTCCTAAGAGCTCTTCAATTCCATCATCCTTATCGGAACCGTCCTGCTGTTCCACTGTCATTTTGTATCCCAATAGTTCAAGAAGATTTATGTTAAAGTAATAACTCAAATTAATTCCTGGTACCAAGCGTTTCAAGTCTTCGATGGTAGCCTTAGCTTTCTCAGTGTCCCCTATATTGGCATAATGCTGTGTAATTGTCGCGAATAAATCGCCGCGACGCACCGACTGTTCCAGACTGGGCCCTTGGGAATCTAGTAAATATCGAATCTGTTGCATTGCTGTCTCCGTCTCGCCCCTCTCAAATAATCTGCATAACAAGTAAAAAAAAATACTTGAATATACAAAAAAGATAATTTAGATATTTGTATATCTCATAATTAAAACGCTATTAATACAATGTGTAGGAATAAAATGTGGAAAGAACTTCCATTATTTAAATAAGAATAAGACTTATAGATTAATATAAACCGATAAGCACAATATTTCTGTATGACAATATAATATCCACAATGTTGCAAATGACAGAGCAGAATATTTTAATCTTACTCGATTCTTCTTCAACATCGTTCTGGAGTCGTATAAAACTGTGTTAAAAGTGGCATAAGGTGTGAGGTCTGAATAGCTCAGTGGTAAGAGTTGCCCGGAAAGCGAAAGACTCGGGTTCGATTCCCGATTCAGCCACTCGTACCTCGCATATTTTTTCAGATCCGCAAATGTTGTTTTCTAACAATTATTTGTCAGACTGAGGAAGTGTGTAAATGCCCTACACAAATACGACAGTGCCGCTGCCACGGAAGAGATGGATGCTTGGTTCGTGCTTCCTACCGCCTTAAAGCCATCTCTTCCGTGGCAGCGGCACTGTCGTATCTGTGTAGGGCATTTACATACATCCTCAGCCCGACAAATAATTGTTAAAAAACAACATTTGAATCATATAGGTATTTTTTGTTTTGTTTTCCTTTCTTTGTTGGATTTTCGTTTACTATGAGATGTAGTACCATAATCTTATTTTCTGTATATATTCCCATATATTGATCGCAATTTCTCGTAAAATTCAAATTCGACGCCTCATGTTCACATAACATTTGTGTTCGCGCGTTCTAATGGCATAACATTTCATGAAAAACGCTAATCACTTTTAATGCGAACTATATAAGCAATAACAATAATTTCTCCCTTTCTCCCTCTCTCTCCCTCTCCCCCGCCACTTTTATTATTAGAATAGACTATTTACATATAAATGGTCAACGTTTTATGCATATAATAAATTAAATTACACAATGTTATATTTTGCATTTCATTTTTATTTTCAGTTAATCCCGATTTAATTAAATCTTCGAACTTAGAAGAATTATCTTGATATAGAGTTAAAAAATCTTGGTATTTATGAAATTCGAGACTAGAACGATTAAAATTGATTATATAGTTCTTAAGACATTTTGAAAACGCCTCAACTCACCATCTATAAGAATATACAAAAAAATGGAGGTTTCCATTTTCAAAAGTCCAGCTGATCTTGAAAATACCATGCTACGGTCATCCAAAAGCCAAACCCATTGTACTATCATATGTTTTCTTTAAAACCCCAAAATTATTGTCTGAAATTTGTTTCTTGATAATGCAGTTTCAACGATAATGTAGTTTCTGAATTATTTGTTCAATTGAATCTTTCAATTGTCTGTTTTTCACTCCATTATTTACAATATTATAAATATTGTATCACCACATGAATATCTATGCTTACCAGCATATATTAAAATGTTTATTTTTATTTACATTTTTTAATGAATTTAATTTACATTTAATTTTTATTCTATCTTATTTTATTTTTTATTATTTAATTTCTCACGAATTTTTACGCTACAAAGTCACTGATCGAATTTGAACCAATTTGCACTAATACATTTAGTATTAGGATTTTGAGTTTACCTTTTAATATCCAAATAGCGTTTAATCGTTGACATTCTATTGTTGACTAATTCCATCGCTCGTTTGTGAACATCCGGATCACGCGGTGCCATTACCTTAATTAAACACCTACTAGCTTGATTCAATGCATCCAGCGCTTTCTCATAATTCTGAAATTCATCGATTTCTACCTGTGCACATGCCACATAAAAATTTGCTAATAGATCCATTGCTTTGCCTTTGGAATAGAAACTGATAATGTTTTTCAGAATCTCCGGTTGATTCTGCCAATCTAGAGATTGCAGATAATTGCCCGCCATAATGTAGATCTCGCTATTTCTCGAGACTTGCGCAAAGAAACAGATCTTTTCGGTATCGCCAGACTTGAGCAATGCTTTCATAGCGCGCAGCTTGTTCCCAGCTTGTGTGAATTTTTTGGTCGCAAGGTGATAGTTTCCTTGATCGAAACCGATCTCCGCTATTTTCTCAAGTGTAGAGATTCTCAAACGTTCATATTCCACATCGTCGTCATTTCTTTTTTCAACTGTTAGTTTTTCCGCGAGCTCTTCGGTTAACACGACGTTATGTTGTTGGATCAGCTCTAAAGCTGCCATGTAGTCTTTGCCAGTTGCGAGTAAATCTACCGCTTTGTCGATTTGGTCATTTTGCATGAAATAATCGGCGCATTTGCGAATCAATGCTGGATCGGAATCCGCATTTACATCCATGATAATTAGCTGCAACGCGCTATATTGTTGCGTTTTAAACGCAATATCTAAAGCTTTATGCAAGAGATTAGCTTTATGATACAATAGCACTGCACGATCTGGTTGATTGTTATCCTCATAAAACTTGGCAACGTCTATCTGCGAATGCCGTGTCGCTAATATGGCCAGAGGCCATAGTTCTTCCAGCATATCATGCTCCTGTGCAGATAATATATAAAACTTGAAAACACCTTTTTAAGCAAATCAAAATAAGTTGAATAAAGCATATAAAAGTGAATTTTTCTAGTTAATATTGCTTTAAATGTCGCATGATCGGAAACTACTAGCAACATATAAGCCATGCGCGGAATTGTTCCTCTTTCAGAAATTATATCATAAAAGACTAGCCAAGGACAAGAATAAGAGCAGAGGGCTAAGGTGAAATTGTTACAAAAAATTCCAACTTCTTTTACGGCCTTATATGTCGGCTGTAAAATAAAAATCAAAAAAATTCGTGGCTCTCTTTCGTTCTCTCTCTCTCCCTCCCTCCCTCTCCCTCCCCCTCTCGCTCATTCATTCAGAAGATAGAAGGATGGAAAGTTGAACATTTAAACGGTAAAAAAAACGGTAAAATACGACATTAAGCGACATTTAACGACATATAAAACTTCTATAGTGTAATATTAAATATTTCACCTTGCATAGTCGAATCGCATTCGTATAAGCTTTAGCGACTGTATAAAAATGGATCGCTTGTGTCACATTATTCTTCGATTCGTAATGCGCAGCAAGATGATACGCTGATGCGGCATGACCTGTTTTAGTTACTAGTTCGCATGCTTCGTCCTCTCTTTTGAAATAACAAAGTAGTCTTGTCATTGACAAAGTATCTTTTGCCTGCTCGTAAAGATGCAAAGCGGTCTCCATATCGCCAGTCGACTCGATGTATTGGGCATGCCAATTTTTAATTTCCCTACGCGACAGTATTAATGTAACTCTATTATAAATAATTTTTTTCTAGTTAATATTAATATTAATAATATAAAATAAAGGCTCTCTCGAAGAACAAACAAAGGAAACTGTAGGCCGTGACTCGAGATATGCGCACACTTTAATTAACACCATTCGCTGAAGATAGTCCGATACCAGGACCGAAACGTACGAAATTTACCGGAATAAATAATTTGAATATTTGCGCAAATGTAACCGCGCTCGGCTCTTAATTTGCCCAATTTCCTTTGTTAATATTAATATTAATCACATCACTTACAATTCTTCGGAATTATTGAGATATGTGAGGAGCTCTCGAGGTCTCATCAAAAGCATTCTGGGTATTTCAAATCGATGGCAATCAGCTTTCGTATACATATCGATAGCTTCCGCTATTTTACCTTGCTGCTCCAGTGTACGAGCGTAATTGTAATAGCTTGTCTTTTCGCAAATCTTATTTTCATTGCTGGCTAATTCAATTGCTTCCTTGAATTTGTTCCGCGCTTCGAATAATTGTCCTAGCAGATCCAGACGTTTTGCTTCTCGAAACAAATGTTCAGCATCAGTCTGTGGTTTAGAGACCATACATATTTTGAGTAAATTTGCAACTTTAATTAAAAACATATTTAAATGTAGGGGAGACCGGGGCTGGTTGCCTATAGGGATAGATAAATTAATCATCAATAACTTTGCACGGATGCGAGACCGATTGCGCTAAAATTCACTGTAGAAGCAAGCATTTCTCCTTCTTCAATTACGCCAGATGCAACGCTACGGTCACATGTCATTACAAAGTAATAAAAGTATATCGAAAAATTGACTATGTAAGTAAATATTTTTTTTCAGAGATTTTTTGTTTTCACGTTTTATGTAGCTACAAAAAAATAAGTGTCATAGCACTATTTTAGAGTTTGTTTATTAGACAAGCGATTGGGACCATTTCTGCTTGGATCCATAAATATTTAAAAGTTAAGTAAAGGTTTGAAATAAAAATAACCATTCGGGGCTTGTTGACTAACTATCTTTGAGATATTACGATATAATGACTTATTTGTTATAAGGGAGAATGTAATATTACTATTTAAAAGGAAGATTATTTTATTTTTTTATTATAAACGCGGATTTATCTTTCATTTGCTAAAATATTGTTTAGCTCATTCATATAATTGACATTTAATTTTAAAATTTGACTTATGTCATCAGAAATAATTAAGGCTCCTGAGTAGTCACCGTGAAATTCTGAGTTGACGGTGGCGACATGGGAATAAAGATGCTGCGGTAGGAATAAGAACCCTGTCCAACAACTTACCATATAAGTGAAATGGAATTTATTTGTAACTCTCGGCTTTCGGCTGGATTTCTTAACTCACGCCTACTGCTCACTGTTCCCCTCCTTAGCTTACCGCTCCTTAGCAACGCATCACCGCATTACCCTTTTTTGGTCTATAACTTTTTTTTGGGCCTCCCCCAACTAAAAATGGTTATTTATATTTTTTTCTAAACATAAAAATTCCGTAAAAAAATTTGCAGCCCATTTGCAGGTGAAGCCGTGATTCTGAATAATTACGAAAATTTTAGTGAGAACTTTTGCTATTAGAGTATTGCGCTATTTATTACATTGATACGCACGTTCCTGAGACTAAGTGACGCGCTCCTTAGTTACGAGCGTCCGGCGCTGCGTTGCTAAGACCCGAGCAGTAAGAGGGAAGCAGTAGGTGTGAGTCAAGAAATCCGGCCGAAAGTTGTAAGTAAATCCCAGCATTGTGTTAGAGTATTGTGCTATTATTTATGATGTGCACGCTCCTGAGACTAACAAGGGAGGGCGCGATCTTGGGATCACCGAATTGAAAGAGGCTTTTATATAGTACTCTATTAGAAGGGTACTTAAGCAAAGGGATAGGGCACAATGTTCAGCCATTTCCAAGAAAATAATTTAAACAATATGGCTTTCCTTATATCTGGCTCCGTTAGATGGATTAGTGAAAAGGCTATATAGTTCAGGCACTAAGCGCATGGCTATCACGCATCCAACCCGGGTTCAATTCTTGTCCCTGCCACTCTTTTTCTCATTCTTTTTTTATACAATCTAGCAACCAATATTTATTCATGCAAAATAAAGTTAATTTAACTAACAATTTTTTTTTTAATTTGCACTTTTGAAAGATGATTTTTTTTTAATTTACTCACGAAACTGGCCATAATTTTTGTTCAACTTACAATCTTATTATTTTATGCATTCTACCCGATATAAAATGAAGCAAATAAAACGCCACTATTTCAACATAGTTATCATTTAATACAAAATTACAAACAAATGTGCCAAAACTTTTATTCATCCTCGTTATCACTATCATCAACACTCTCTACAGATCAGTTACAACTGTTTGGATGATACCTGTCGTAAAAACACGAAGCATCGCGCGAAGATGTCAAAAATACATTCATTAGTTCACCACTAATTGAGCGTCTATTTCCCATGCTAAAGTATGCTTGGTTTGGTGCGAAATTGATAGAGGAAAGATCGATTTTTACAAATGTAAACGTCCTCTGCTTTCCTCCAACAAGCTTTTTGAAAAAGCATTGTGCGTGTCGGGATGTATCCTTTATAAAATGCGCATGGTGTGAGATAATTTGTTTCACGTGCTTCTACGGCAAGTATCATCCGAAGTTGTAGCCGATCTGCAGAAAATGTTGATGATAGTGATAACGAGGATGAATAAAAGTTTGGCACATTTTTTCGCATTTATTTGTAATTTTGTATTAAATTATAACTATGTTCAGATAGTGGCGTTTTATTTGCTTCATTTTATATCGGGTAGAATGTATAAAATAATAAGATTGTAAATTGAATAAAAATTATGCCCAGTTTCGTGAGTAAATTAAAAGAAAATTTCCTTTCAAAAATGCAAATTGAAAAAAAAAATATTCGTTGGTAGATTGTCCCTATCTAAAAAAGGCATGTTATGTCGATACTCGAAAGTCTCGAAGTGTATTGTTGCCTCTTTTCCGCGATGCTGATTGATTGTCTCGCTTGTGCGCTGCGACTTGCTTCATTCGTGTTATTTGCAGCTGTCAAATCATGAGAATTTTGACAGTTTGACAATTTGTTGAAAGAAAAAGTTAAAGTTAGGAAAGGAAAGTTAAAGAAATTGGAAAATGTCCATAAGTAAAAACGCGCGCGCAGCGCGCGTCTGTGTTGTTCTAGTATAAAAAAAAGAATGAGAAAAAGAGTGCCAGGGACAAGAATTGAACCCAGGTCTGATGCGTGATAGCCACGCGCTTAATGCCCGAGCTATGCCGCCTTCTCGCTAATCAGAATAACGGAGTCGGATATAAGAAAAGCCATATTGTTTAAATCAAATTTTCTTGGAAATGGCTGAGCGTTGCGCCCTTCCTTTGCTCAAGTATTTTTCTAATAGAGTACTTCTAATAGACTACACTATATAAAAGATATATACAAAGATATATAAAAGATATATACTATACTCCAATGAGAGAATGACGTCGGGTCGGACGAAAACTCGTCTGTTTCGTGCAGGTCTCCACCCACTACGTATACGGTATTGAGTACCTCGCTATGTTCTCCCCACTTTGCCTGTATATGCGCAGACCGAGGTCATTCTCTCTCTGGACGGAGTATATATATATGTTACACATGTTAACTACAAGTTATCCGCATATTACCCAGATGTCAGAAATTCTTATTCAGCGCCACACGATGCAAATCGATGAACTATGAGGCGTGAAAAGTGACGTCTTGACAGCCCAAATTATTCTTGCATGCCATTTCGTAATTATTCGCTTTATGCTAGTGCTGTGATGTATTTGTGAAACTTATAAAATTGTCCGAAAACTAAACTTAGCAAGGAAAGTACTATGTAGAAAGAACATTTTCCACTTCTTTCGACAGTTGTCAAACCACATGTTTTCCCGCATGACTAGGCTTACTTTGACCCTCATTTTACGGTTATTTATTAATTGTCAAAGGAAAAGCTTAGTTTTCGGACAATTTTACAACTGTACTAAAGCGATATGTGGTCTTGTTTCTTTAAAATATCTTTTTATTTAAAAATGGCACGTAAGAATTCTCAGCGTGTCAATTCTCGCTTCTGACGTCATCATTCTAATATAGCCGCAGCGACTACTCAGGAGCCTTAATACTTTATAATAAAACAACTTCTCTGATATTGTGCTATTTTATTACTGCTGAGTTAAGCTGCAAATAACATATTCTCAATTAATTCCCTATCGTCAACTTGCCCCTTTGTAAGTCAACCAACACCGATAATGGGGTTGGTTGATCAGCATGGAAAGTATAAGAAAAATATTTAAATATATTAATTATCATCAAATTAAGCTAACTTTAAGAATTTAATCCGATAGCCAAATATACATCTTACCGAAGGCAATAATATTTACGCTACGATAATATTTATGCTACAATGATATTTCTTTCATGTATTTCATTAAAAATCAAATATTGAAAAACTGGCCTACCAGCCCCGTAGGGGGTTGTCTCCCCTACACTTAATGACTTACATAAAGACCAAGTTCAACAGCTAGTATTCCTACTTGTGCTTCTAAATTCAAAGTATCATTTTGTATCGTTTCACGTAGAGCCCGTGCAGCATTAGCTTGCTTCATGTGACCCAGACAGAGAAGAGCCATGTTTAATTGCTTTGTTTTCACGCACATTTTAGCTAAGCTCTTCCAAACAGCTTCGTTTTTTATGGATTTAATGGCTTTAAAAGCCTCTTCCATATTTGCCACACTAATATGATAACTGAAATCCATCACTGCCTTTTTCGTGATAGAATCGCAATCTCCCAATTCTTCAAAGTCTCTCATTAACAGCTGCACAATCTTACTGTTTCTATCCAAACTCTTTTCAGAGTTCAGAATAACGATATATGGCGAATGCACACCTAACAATCGACAATTCTCGTCAGCTATCGGTTTCACGTCTTGCACGACAATACTATGGTCTGATGTTGCGAATAATGATACCAATACTACGGGAGCTTGTGTAATCTAAATAGAAAGAATTATGGATTATTAATATTAGTAATCATTGCAAGCTAAAGATAATAACTATAAATTAATCTTTTTTTTTGTCTCCTTATTTAGAACTTATAATTTATGATTTTTTCAGGGTGTCTACTAAAATCTTGTAAAAACATTTCCTGAAAATTCTTTGATCTTCTAAATATTTTTGTTCAAATTCCAGAGAAAGAGAATTTTTTAAAGATTTTTTGGTACAACTTAAAATAAGTTGTTTTTTTTTATTATGAACCTTTTCTAATGCTTTTTTCCTCATACAAAAGAAAAACACAAAGGCACTTAAGTTTCAAGTGCTAGATTTGTAAATATACTAGAAAAACTGAATAGTTTTCATAAGATAAACATTTTTCATTTGCATAACATTTTCATTTTATCACTAAAAATTACAATAAAGTATATGTACTGCATATTCAATATTTTTTAAAGACATTGAATATATAAACAGAGATAAATATATATTTATAATATATTTTAACACACATAATTGACAACTTGGATTATTATCAGACAAAATTTTTGAAAAAATTTCCTAAGTCCCGATAAAATTCTATGAGAATTCTCTGATTTTTCCAGATACAAAAGAAATCCCCGAGATTCCAATGTTTTCCATATTTTTTCCAGGAAATAGACTCCTTGTTATTTCTATGTAATATATTTATTCCTATATAATAATAAAAAGTTTACATTTTATTAAGGAAAAATCCATAATATATATAGAGGATGAGTTTTTTAACTTGAAACTGTAAAATATTTCGGAAAGTAAGCTTTATCGAAAAAAATGTTTCAAACAAAAGTTGTAGGGTTCGGAGGGGGCCACAT